TTCAAAAACAGTACAACCCTTTTTTCTGCAAAATCCAAAGGGATTAAGTACGAAACAAGTGGAGCTAATCCTAGGTTTGTATTTAACTGTGTGCGTATAAACTAATGGAGCAACAATTAAATGGAGCTAATCCACCAAGTGACGAAAGCAGCAGCATAATTAAGCCCCTCGACCGAACAAATTGGACCTCCATTTTCTTGAACTGAGTGTTGTTGCAGAACACCGTATAAAATAACCCTCTTTATTAATTAATGTTTGAATCACAAGTTCACAATGCTTGATTATGGTAATGTACACATAATAGTTTAATTCAATTTTGGCCATTTCTCAACGTCTCTTTCTGTCTGTTCAGACAAAAAAGGGGTAGTAAAATTAAATAAAGAATAACAAGTTATTTTAAAATTAAATGAAAGTTCATAGAAGATATATTTATGAATAATTTTTTCAAATTTTAATTAAGATACCTTATCTTATCATCAATATCAATGATTTTGTTATTGTTTAACAACAAGTCCTTGATCTTAAAAGGTGGAGCTAAACATACGGTGACCAGATTTTAAGTTTGCAATCTTGTGATATTGTCTCTGGACTCTGGACAGCTTAATCTCTCATTTATTTAATAATTGTGTATATAATTAAAAAAAAAAAAAAATTTAAATTTAGGTGGTGTATTAGATTGAGATTTCAAAAGATTTTAATAGAATATTTTTAGACAAAAAAATCCATTGGTATTCAATTAAGATTTTAATGGATTGAAAAAAAGTCATGTGGTATTCGATTAGGATTTTAAAATATTATTTTAGAGTCCGTTCAAATCCATTGATATTCAATCAAAATTTTAAACAATGGATAATCTTGTGGTATTCAAAAATTTAATGATTTTAATATATTTTTTATTGGTGTGGACTTCGTGGGATTTTTAGTAAAAAATATAAATAGGATGCCTCTCTCACAATCTCACCCTAACTCCTAGGATTTTTTGAGATTTCTCTATTGCAGTGTTTTTCTTCTTCCTTTGGCAGATTGATCTACTCGAAATCGAGTTCTGTCATATGAGCTTCGTTAAAACTCAAAAATAGTATATTTTTGATCAATTTTCATCACAAAACAATGAGATTTTAATATAATCTATATCAAAAACATCATGTTTTTGATAAATTTTGGAAGTTTAAAAAATAATTTTTCAAGCTATGGGTCGCAATTTTTTTTTGCACAAAAAGGTTTATTTTTTGTATTAAAAACAACATAAAACAGTGAAAAAATAACAGAGAACTAAAACCCTCAAACTAATTTTCGTTTTATATCAATGAATCTATATCAACTTAAATAAAGATTGAAACTTTCATAATATGAACCCTATATTTCGTAACAATACATTAATGAACAAAATTCCTTCACTATAGGAAACGATTTCAAATAATTTTTGTGTCAATAGATAACTAAAACTTGTTTTTCAAAAGCCCCAAAGCAATTTGAGGTTTCAATGTATCGATTGAAAAAAAATTGAGAAATTTTCTAAAGTTTCATGTAATAAAATCCAAAAATTTAGATTCAAAATTTTGTTAGAATGTTCAATGAAAATATGCATATGATATACAGTTAGAAAACTTTTATCACTTAAAACAAAAATCCCAAGGTTTTCAAGTTCAATTGCAAAAAATTCCAAACTAAATTTTATCTTGAACTTACTTGAGGTTCCGTATGCAAAATTAGAAGTATTTTAATGATCAAAAAAATTGGGTCTTATAATTATATATGCATAACTTTGATACCAAATGAAGAAGATAATGTTCAACCCATTGGTCAAACAGAAATGCATGAATAAGAAAATGTTAATACGTGGAGGACTAGTATAACTTTAGATATGTGAAGAGCTGTTGTTTAGTAAATTTGAATGTTTGTTAAAAATTATATTATGTTTTACTTATTGAGAAAATTATATTAGGTTTTATTTTTTTATTAATTTCATTGCATTTCTTTGTTTTTTTATTGACTCTTATAATTTTGAATGTTTGTTAAAAATTCATATGATTTTTTAAAATCTCAAAAATTTATATTGTGCTTTCAAATCTTATACATTCTATTAAAATCCTTTAAAATCCAATCTTATGAAATTTTAATTGTAAAAAAAGTCTTTGAAAAAAATTTTTAAAGTTACTCCAATTCTAAGTAGTCTTTTAAAATTTATAAAAAATTTATTTCAATTTTTTTTTTAAATCCTAATTCAATATATCCCTTTAATTGATAAATTTTTTTGAAATTAAAGATTAATTAAACTTTATTAGTAGTAGTAGTAGTAGTATGTAAATAGGGTATAGGAGCGTCGAAGACAGCGAAGAGCAGAGGGCCATATCGACACACTGCACGAAGATATTGAGGATGATGTATGGATGAGGGCATAATTATTCAGTCAAAGAAATGTGCATTACCCTCATTACCCTTTACATATAAGAATGATGTTTTTTCAGTTTTCACCTGCAAGCACGTGAGCCATCATAAGATAAGATGTGATGCATGATGATGCATGAAATAAAAAAAAAAATTCTGACTCGAAATTCAAAACAACAAAAATGGTCTCAAAACCCATCAGTCAAATGAAACCCTAATCATTGCTGATATGAAATTTAAGATTCAAACAGCGCCTTCCTCAACGCGTGGAATCACGTGCTCAAAAATCAGATCTTGTTTACTTCTCATTACATTTTTTTTTTTTCTCTTTATTCATTTTCATATACATGTTCAAACTTGAATCTTGATTTAGATTTGTAATTGAAATGTGGGTTTGCGTAAAGAGTAATTTTACTAATATTTTTTTTTATAAAGTTGACATGATTGTATTTGAATTTAGAAATAATTTATGACTACTGGAACAGGAATGTAATCATATCCGCTATATAATTATGTAACGTGTAAGGGCTTAAAAGGTAAAATGACACAGCATGAACGAAATAGAAATAATTTATTTCAGGGATTGCAAATAGAAATAGTTCTTGCATTAAAAAACTATTACACATATGTGTGCTAAAAAAAAAGAGTTTAAGAAAAAGGGGGAAAAGTGAATGTTGTAATGTAATATTTATGAAATATGTGAGATATTTTTATAAAAATATCATTACTGATTAAGATTAAAAAAAAAAGTTTTTACGTCTTTTTAGAATAAGAAATTTTTCCTACTATAAAAAGGTCTTTGCTATGGATTTTAAGGGCGGGAAACTATAGAAATAAATTGCTTCGTGCTTACTAACATCAGAAAAGACAATGGAAATGAACCTATCAAGTAGTGTCACTGTCTTTCACGCAATTTTTAGAGATTCTTCCAACTTGAAGGTCACTACTACACTAATTCAATTCTAGTAGGTAGTTTATTGCCCATCCTTCGCATAATTATCTGGCAATATCAGTAGGAGCATTGGAGCTTCATGAATAAATCAGTGTCAGTGGCATGCATTAGGGGTATCAAATTTTTGCCAAATATCTTTATATAACTAGTAATTTTTCTGATCAACCAGCTAACGTCCTTCCATTGTTGATTGCCAAACACATGAAGAACTATCAATAGCAAACTCTTTATTCAGTGACACAGACATTTCAACCATTAGTAGTGAATGAAACTATTCCCAGTTGGCATACGGTGTCCCACAAAGACCCCATCATTTATTTATTTAAATAAATCATAATCATCCTTACGGGAACCAATTCTATTCAAACTACAACATTCATATTATATTATATTAGTGAGGCTAGCTCTTCCAAAAGATATTTTTTACATTCACAAAAATTTTAATCTAAAATACTTAAAATTTTACTTAAGTGAAATCAAACATGTACTATTTGAACTAACCTGACCCATCATTTTGTTCAGACTTTGTAAGCCACCATTAGAGGCGGATCTAAGTTCATGAGAAGGGGGTAACTGCCCACCCTTGAAATATGATGCAAAATTACAAAAATACCCTTCTCTTAAAATTCAAGTTTTTCCAATTTAATTTTGGAGTAGGATATTGTAACAATCAATTTCACCGTTAAATCGATTATGTTGATCCAACGGTTATATTTATTTTTATCTTTGTATGGTTATGATTCTCCATATTTAATACTTTATATTTATTTTCACCTTTGTATGGTTATGATTTTTCATATTTAATGTTTTTACATTAAATATGGAGATCATAACCATACAAAGATAGAAATAAATATAACTGTTGGATCAACATAAGTGATCTAACGGTAAAATTGATTAGTAGTAACCCTAGTTGATTGTTACGATATCTTACCCCTTTAATTTCTCTCATTCTATTTTATTTTACTGTGAGTTTTTTTTCTCCTCCATCTTCATTATCCAAACCTAACAGCAGAGAGCTCTATTCCCGACCCATCGTTTGTATCTACATACTGATTTATCTCCTCTCAAACATCAATCTCTGTTACTGAAAGTTGGAACATTTGCTTCTTCCTCCATCATCGGTCCTGTTAAATCGTAATACGTCCAGATTTAAATCTAAACCAGACTCAGCCAGCCGACAGCTGCTTACAAGTCGCGTTTCATACCAAACTCAAATCTATATGTACTTGAACTTATTGAGTGCCCACCCTTCATTAATTTCTTAGATCCGCCACTCACCACCGTGATGTTTCACCAAACAACCTTTCCTTTTACGGCGTACTAAACACAAAAGGCTGTTTTGTTTTAAGTTTCTGTTCATTGGTCTTTGGTGCATTCTAGAAACAATACAGCACTTATTATTAAACTGTTTGAACTAACAATCCAAAACCAGCAATTTGTATACATAGTTTTGTTCTTTGAAAAAGCAAGCCAAATTCTTCACTAGATGTAAATAATTTGGTACAAGAGAAAGAGCGTGATAGGGGAAAAAAAAAACTCTTCTAAAAGAATGTACACATTGTAAGCACAATTGGAAAAACAAATTTCAAAGCATTAACATCATCATATATAGACTTCAGTAGTTTCCTCTCAAATTTTTCCTTTTGATTCTACAATGTCAAAAATTCCAGGATTCTTGTGCTTGGAAATTGGATGGCCTTTGCATTCTAACACCACTTATGCTATTTCTTGCTGCCATCATTTCATTGAGTGAAAGCCTTTTTTTGGGTTCAGGTCTTTGCTTTGGAGCACTGAGAGACCTTAGTTTTGCCTTAAATGACTGAGTATTGGACATGTAGTTTGGGAAATTGGAGTAAGGTCTGAAGAAGGTGTCTCCACAAACACTCTTGGCTGGTGTAGCTGGAGCATTAGGACGCACTAAACCTGTGAAACGAGGGGTGCTATGTGCTGTGGAGAACCTACACTCCTCAACATTGAAGTACCAATCATAATCTTGAACATGTTTGCAATCAGGAACAGAGATTCTACCCAGAACAGGACATGGAAGAGGGGATGAGATTGCATGACATGGAAGTTCTTCTCCATATTCAGACATTGTAGATGTAAAGCGCCTTGATCTTGACCTTGTCTTGTAAGTGTCAATTTCAACAATTTTGGGGCTTTCATCATATCCATTCAATGATGCTTCATAAGAAGTAGGTAACCTTTTACTATGGAATTCACTTCTCGTTTCATCAAATCGTTCCTAGCAATTCAAAAAAAAGAAAGAACACAAGAAGCAAATAATAAGACATTGTTTGTTAATAGATAAATGGTTGAAGTTAGTATGCAGGATTTGAAAAACCAGTTTTTTTACCACAGATTTTCTTGCAATAACTTCAGGTAGATATCTATTTTCTTTGCTCATGGAACGACGCGCTCGCTGTGTTCTGACATTAGCTTGAGCTCTTATTAGAGCTTGCATACTGTGAAGAGTTGCAGCAGCTCTTTTTCTTACTAGATAGCCTCTAACAAGAGCTTGTATCTTGACCAATCCTTTCAGTGCTCTAAGAGCCTTCCGTGCCTGAAAGTAAACAACAACACAATGTTTTGAATTGAAGTGCTAATAGAACATACTAAAAACAATATAGATAAGGTTAATGATGAAATTAAGCCTTACTCAAATAATTCAAAAGTTCAAATTGTCAAATATTCAAGATGGCTTTAACAGAAAATAGGATCTGAGAAACAAACCAAGTCAACGAGAACGTGAAGAAAGGAAAACATAGATGCTAGTTTCAATGAGCCAGACAGAAAGGGAGAGGCACTGTTTCATTAAGAATCTAAAATAAACTTTCTCACCTTTTGAGAGGAGACAAAGGAGTAGGAATCAAGCAAAGCACTTCACTTATACCAACAAAAAAATATATATTTGTCCCAGATAGAAGCATCACAGTCACAAAACAATGCAATTTACCAAACAACATTTGCAAACACTGAGAAAACAGACATGCATACCCACATAAAAAAAAAATACTAACACCAATTTGATTTAAACCTTTCTAAAAGACAAGTCACATACCAAATAACCTCTGAAAAAAGTTTGGATCTTCACAGCACCCCACTTCTCTCTGCTCCCACTGAACAATGTACCTCTGCCCTGGCTTGTTAGCCTCACAACCGCCACCGCCGCCTGTGCGGCTGCCACGGCGGCATCCGCGGCGGCGGCTGTGGCGGCTGCCACAGCAATTGCATGTTTGTTCTGCTCATTCTCTGTCTCAGCAATATAGGATCTAAGCCAGGTATTATCAGTAGGTGGAACACTAGTGGGAGCAATGTGAGACACCATATCCTTTCCTTGCTTAGTAAAACTCCACCTTTTCTTCTCCTTCTTGTCAGGAGCCAATGACCCCGAATTGTCACTGTGGTCCTTCTCCTTCTTCATGCCCAACAAGCCCTTCAACCACCTGCTAGCTTTGCCCATAACTTCACTATAACTTTTGGGACACGATCTGAAGTGAGAAACAGTGTCAAAGTTAATCTCAAATGGTGTGTATGTGAGTTTAAAAGTCTTGTGGGTTTGTTGCCTCTTGGTAGTTAAGAAAGTGGAGCATGAAAGTGAACACAAGTGTAGCAACCAAATGTTGCCTAACAGAATCTCTCTAGCATAGAAGTGATATGAGAGACAGGATGTGGATGAAAAGAGATTAATAAACGGTGTAAAAAAGCATCAAACCTTAAAAATTAAAATAAGTGGGGGGCAAATTTTGGATAAAGATTGAACTTTTTTTGAAAATAAAACTTCTGACAGCACCTCGTGAAGAACTGCATTAGAGGACAAAAAGATGTCACAGAAAGTTAACAGAGGCTCAAATGAAAAACAAAAAATAACCTCAAACAAAACCCATTAAAATACTTATATAAAAACTTCAAAATCTCACCCCCAGGGTAAAGAGACAAGAATTACAGACAAAGCATAAAGGTGAAAATCCTGTGAAAAATAAAAGTGATTATAATCATAGGGAGAAAAAGCCCCACAACAATCAAAACAGCTTCTTATCTGATCTTGAATTCAAAAAAGAGAGAGAGCGCCGAATTCCCTTCCCACTCACTCCAATAACAATCTCCCCCAACTTACAAAAAGCACTGCCAATTCTCTCTCTCTCTTCTCTCTTTCTCTTGTATTTTCCTACAACTGCAAAATTTTCTTTCTCTAACTTTCTGGAGCAACGTGTACTACGTAAGAAAGATACCCACTGACAATCCCGTGAGAGCTTGTTCGAGATTCTGGTTCAAACCCCTCATTGAGTATTAACCCGTTAAGTTTCTCTCTCTCTTTCATTATCTAAAGTCTATTCCTTTATTCGAAAGAGAGAAAGAAAAGAAGAAAAAAATGATACTGTGAATTGAGTTCTGCTGCAACCGAATAAAACCCACTTTAAAGGCTAAAACTTTGCTACCACGGATCGATCGTACGCTGCTATTTGCTGTGCTGTGTAGTATTCATTAAGGCCTATACCAACTAAAAAAAGGTTCCTTTATTTTTTCATCTTTTTTGTTCCAGATAATAAAATCCAAAATTGGGTCTGAAGATTTTGCATTGGTTTGGAAAAAAGATCTTGCAGTTTCCGTATCTTATAACAACAGTGATTCCTGAAAGAAAAGAAAAACTTTCTCCCTGACCATCATGATTCCATTGCTTTACCTTCTCTGTCACCTGCCGCAGTTCCCTTCCTTCTGCTTGCAAAGTCTGAAACAAGAATATCTTGTTCAAAAGGGGACTTTCCAAATGGACTGGGAAATGAATGGATCGGTCAAAATGTGATTTTCCAGAACCAAAGCATTAAATTCAAGTCTCTCTTTGGGATACTCGAAATTTGGTTTTGTTGCCAATGCAGAATTGGTAACATGTGATGTTTTGTTAGTGGTTCATAACCTTATCTTAATCTTATTTGAAAATTGATTGTTGGGTTATGATTCAAATTTTGAATCGAAATGTTATTTTTTTTTTCTTCCTTCTCTTAAGGTAATTTTGAATCGATGTCTAGGGAGTTTTTTGTGATTTGAAAATTGGTTATTGTGTATGATTGCATGAACGGGTAGTATTCGTTAGTTTCTTTTGGCAAAGGGAATAGTAGTTTAACCTTAAAATGAGTAAAAAAAAACAAAAAACTGTACGGTAAGAATCCCTCGATTTTATCATAGGATTTAATGTTTTTCTTGTGAAATAAAATAAATTTTATCTGTTATACTCGTATAAAAGTTGATAAGCCTCCTAATAAAGAAAATGAGTAGGTTCAGAAATAAAAGAAAAAAATTATGTTAATATGAGGTACAATGTCAAAAGTTTCACGAATACACATGATAGAGAATGCATATACATTTAACTATGTTTCTTTTGAGAAGCATTTATCAACAAAGTACTGTAGGGGGGTGTTTGGTTAGAGGATTCTAAGAAGATGTATAGACATTTGAGAGCTGGGACTAGTGAGTGCCCATATTTGGTTGAAGCTTTTTGAAGAAATGTCCACCTAAATCATTATCCCATCTTTACAGTTTGCATATGCTTCTGATCCAAATACCCAACAATACTTTCCCATTTGTGATGTGGTATATTATGTTATCTATGTAAATCATCAAAATGGGCAAGACACATATGACCCGCGTACCCTCCTCTTAAAAGCAAAACTTGCACCGCGGTTCGTAGGTTTCAAAGATAAATCAGATGCTGCCATAGAATCGACACCAACGTGTCAATTCTTAAACCAGAGACAGACACTGATTCACAAGTAGCCTCAAAATATTGGAACTTTTTTTATCCAACGTGTCAGGGTTATTTTTGTAATACCCATTGTATTTACCCATCTATATGTTACTTACTGCCAAACATAGATTTTACAAAAGTTAACTAATTTTTCCTGTAAATTTTTTTTCAACCAAACAACTTTTTCTTACATTTTCCTACTAATCTCACTTCCCACCCATTTCCCCATGCATAACATTTCCCTATTATTCATAATATTTCTCCTCAACCAAACGCCCTCCTAGCGTCTTTCTTCAATATCTAATTGCCCCAATTTCATGGATACAAGATACTCCTGATAATTCCATACTTGATAACTACAACATTTCTATCAATATTAGTAGAGAATGACTACCCATGCCATGTTACTTCAATTATATTTTCAGCTGAAGGTTCAACAGTGCAATCTTTAGATTTTGCTTCGAGTGTTTTCATCCTTTGTAGCATATTTGGTGTTAATGGTCCAGTATATTGTTCCATTTTAGTCATTTTCTTATACAAACTTTGCATGAGTTTATTTTGAATCCACTCATTCAATAATATAATTGACAATTCCCTTACTTGTAAAATCTTTGAATAAAGGATTCAGTGATATTGTTAACCAAAATATCAGCTTTTTTCTTGAAACTGAAATGTGATTGAGACCATGATGTTGGAGGGATACGCTTCATATTAGCATAAGCTTTCCCATCACTAATTTTTTGTAGCTTCATCATAGCATGCTCAAATCCATTTACAATTGTTGCGGTGGTTGCTTACCATAGTAGGTCTTTGTATAATCTCCCCTTAAATTGCTTCTTATAGTTTTCAAGCAACTGGTATAAACAGAACCTATGCTCGGGGTTTGGCAAAAGATCAGCAAATGTTTGAATTAATCCATGCAAAAATATAAAAACATGAGGTAACATGAATACTAATCATTAAAAAAAAAAAAGGTGACATGACATTTACTTACTTTTTGCATATATGATATAAAGACTAAATTTGTAGGATCAATATCATTCAGCGCATTCAAAAGTGTAGTAAAAAACCAAGTCAAACTAATTTTATTTTCAGCCTCAACAACAACTAAAACAATAGGGAGCATGTTATCATTTCCATCACATGCTATAGCATTGAGATGATGACCTCCAAAATGTGTCTTCCAGAAACAACCATCAAGACCAATTATTGGTCTACAACCTGCATTGATTCAAGCCATCATTGCATGAAAACTCACATACATTCCTTGAAATCCAGGGGGCAATTCTTTTATTATCTCGTCAAGTATCATTAGAGGTTGTGTTTCAATACTTAGCTTAACTAAGCTTCCAAGATTTGTGTTTAGAATAGCTTCACATTATGCACGAGAAACTTCAAATTGGAGAACATGATCCTCAATTATAGTCTTCATTGCCTCTCTTTTTTCCGACACCGCCGCTACATCTCGATATCATAACCAATACTTTTATTCACTCTATTTTTCATTCCAATTATTTGTTCCTTTGCATTGGATCTAAAATCCTCCAATAACTTTTTTGCTAAGTGATTGGAATTAATAAGGCTGTTTGTTGCTTGTCTAGGACATGTATGCTTGGGTTTCTACGTTTTACTCTGAAACGTGCTCTCTCCCATAACCAATGATGCGTGTAGTATAAATGAACAATCTTTAGACACCTTACAAATTGCTGTTACTTCTTCTTCTTTTCATTTTTCACATGTGTGTTCAAACCCCTGAGAAATAAACCATTCCTTTAAAGCCCCTCTAATTCATCAGCTTTTGCAAATTTCATACCAAGTGACAATTCAATCTTTCCCTCATCTGCATTATCCTCTCATAAATCATGGTATTCGGGTGTTCATTGTCGCTTCGCTCCAGTGACTATAACTCATAAGTTGAAGTCTCTATAAATTTATTGACATCTTCAAATCCACTTCCACTATCATCCATGACATTTAAGGACTATCTATCATCCAAGAAAAAAATGAAGTTATTATCTAAGTAATACTAACATGCGAAAAATCAAAAAAAGAAAGGGGATAAGGAGATGTAAATACCTTGGAAAGTTCCATTGAACCTGTTTCAGTTGCAAAGAGAGATTCATCCATAGGAGGTGATAGAAGACCTTCATCATCATTGATAAAAAATGAATTCACTAAATCTGCATTACCTTCATCATCCATTGCTTTAAGTTGCGAGAATTCACAAAGTCAAAAAAAAAGTTTTCACATAACTTGGATATCTTCTTTTTTTGTTTGACATAACCTGAAATATTTATCCATGACATTGAAATATTCCAAAACACGCTAGCAAAAAAATATAGAGGAGAGGAGAGGCAACTACATACGCTAGTCTAATGGAGAAGAAGCAAGACAAGGAAAAAAGCGTGAAAGTTGAGAAATAAAAGAAATACTTACTAAAATATAAACAAAACAGTGTATCAGCGTTGGGGAAGAACCTGTAAAAGATTGGGGCACAAGAAGATTAATGTGTGTTGACTCCAACATACCAAAAAAGATAGGAGAGGGGCTGAACTGTGAACCTTAGATTGAGAAGAGAATTGGGAGAAAAAAAGAACAATTTGTTTAAAAGAAAAAGGACATAATAAACACTAATACCATTACCATTAGTTAAATTTGGATGAAAAACAAGTAGAAGGTGGTAATTGATTGTGAATCAAAGCATAAGGGAGTAGATGACA